AGGACGATAGATGTTTGATAGGAAAGAAGGAGGAGAGATAAGGACGATAGATGTTTGATAGGAAAGAAGGAGGAGAGATAAGGACGACAGATGTTTGACAGAGACAAGAGCACAGTCGTGGATCACTCACACGGCCGTAATGGCGCGGTATCTCTCCTGCCCCGCGGTGTCCCAGATCTGTGCGCGGATCGTCTTGCCTTTGATTGTGATATGTCTGGGAACAAAATTCCCGGTTGGGGGTGGGTGTGGGGGAGGGAGAAGAAGAAGAATAACAATTAGTATTTCGCAAGACTGAGTAGGAGGAGCAGAAGGATATGGAATCAACCATTGCTTGGAACCGTCAGCATCTACACACTTGGAGATGTGCTTCTTCAGGGGACGGAGCGCTTATGGGGATGTCCCTTGTGCAGTGATGTCGGTCCTTCACACAAGTAAACACAAGGAAACAAGCATCTCGCGACCTCAGTGCTTTCTTTCCTGTCTTAGCTCCATTTTTTTAAACAGCGAAAGTGTGACATCTTCTTAAGCTCACCCTGCGTTATGAACTGTTTTCACTGTTATAAAAAATGGAGATAGGAGAAGAAAGCACTGAGGTCGCCATTTACACAGCACACACCCTGCTCTACAGCAAGCTCTGAGCACTTTACAATCTACATCATCATCCCAGCAGACCCAACGACACTCCGACACATTCTCAGCCATCCGGGGAAGCATACAGTGCAAGCTGCCGATTAAGCACTCAAACACTAACAAACTGACAAGATCTTTCCCTATCTATAGCCGGGTACCCATTCCCACCTGGGTGAAGTGAGGAGGGTTGGTTGGCGGGTGCTCTGGTGTGGTCTGCTTCTTCTTTCCCATCAAACATCTATCGTCCTTATCTCCCCTCCCTCTTGTTTTATGTTTGTTACTCTCTTGTAACACCTCTAATCTTCGGCACTTATAAGACCTTATTGTGTTGCAAGTGCCGTAAAACTCTTACTAAAACTAAAAAACAAGTGAGGAAAAATCGGGAGAACTGTCTTTCTTCAGCAAACAATGTCTGGTTCTCCGATGAAATTTGAACCTGTGACCTTACAGTTAAGAGTTCTAAGCCCTCAGTACTAGGCCAGTGACAAGAGTTTGTTAGATTTAGTAAGAGTTTAACAGCACTTGCAACACAATAAGGCCATGTAAGTGCCAAAGATTATTTTGTCTTAGTAGAGGTTATACGGCGCTCGCAACTGCATAAGGTCATATAAGCGCCAGAAGATTAGAGCTTTTACAAGAGAGTAACAAACATAAAAAAGAAGGAGGGGAGATATGGACGATAGACGTTTGATAGGAAAAGAAGGAGCAAACCACACCAGAGCACCCGCCAACCACTCAGTGACAAGAGCTCAGATTGGTCTTACAGCAGTTCATTGGTTCAGGCAGGCCAACTTTGGCAAAACCCAATCAGAGACAGCCCTCGTTATACCATGACATTACGTGTATATATATATATAACAACAAACAGGACATCCAATCATTGACACCTCATGTTATACCATCAGAATACGTATATATAACAACAAGTCTCTCAATCTCCTCACTCTAACACTGGGGACACACCCCTCAAAACCTGGACAATTGGGGAAAAAAAAGACACCCAAAAAAACCCCAAACAAAACAAAAAACTAACTGTGAGCCAAACGCCATCTTACAGCTACCCGACAGCTACAAAACTTCTGATTGGCTAGGACTATCTGTGCCCTGATTGGCCAGGACGGCCCCACTATCTGTGCCCTGATTGGCCAGGACGGCCCCACTATCTGTGCCCTGATTGGCCAGGACGGCCCCACTATCTGTGCCCTGATTGGCCAGGACGGCCCCACTATCTGTGCCCTGATTGGCTAGGACAGCCCCACTATCTGTCTGCTGATTGGCCACGACTACGGGGTTACCGTGGCTACTGACCGCGTGGCAAACTCCACTCCGATGGTGCTCTTGCTTTCGCTGTTGAACTCGTTCTTGGTGAAGCGAGACAGAAGGTTCGTCTTCCCCACGCCCGAGTCGCCTACCAGCACCACTGGGGAAACACACACACACAAACAAACAAATAAACAAACAATTTACTGTATTCTTACTCATATTAGAGGGCCTATGTTCTAAAGTAACTATGAATAGACACAGACACACACACACAAACAAACAAACAAACAAACAAACAAATTAACAAACAATGACTGTATTCCTTCACATATTACAGGGCCTACGTTCCAAAACCACAATAGACACACACACACACACACACAAACAAACCAATAAACAAACAATTACTATATCTTCCTTCATATATATTACAGGGCCTATGTTCCAAACCACAATGAATGGAGACACACACACACACACACACACACACACACACACACACACACACACACACACAAACAAACAATTACTGTATTCCTTTTCATATTACAGGGCCTACGTTCCAAAACCACAACGGACACACACACACACACACACACACACACACACACACACACACAAACAAACAAACAAACAATTACAGTACTCCTAAACATATTACAGGGCCTACGACATTTACACATGATGTGCAACATCCGGAAAATGCCAGAAATCCGGACTCATCCATAAAAACTGGCACCTCTACTATCTGTCGTCACACTTTAAAAAATGTCTTCTTCTCAAATGTTCTGGAGAAACTCGAATTCATTACGAGTCACGAGTCACGACATGAAAAATGCCGAGAAATTGATTATCTCTCAAACAGTTCAATATTTGATTGGAAAAAACGCAAGAAGAAAATCTCTCACCTTTCCATATGTAGTCGTACTGTTCGTCCGGTCCTGTCGCCATGGTGATCAGAGAAATGGGTCGTGTAAACGATTCCTTCCAAACTCACCTCTCACGACTTCTAAGCCAATCAGAAAACGGCGAGTTGGGAGGTCTCAGCCAATCAGAAGACTATTCTTATTTCTTCAAAGAGGCGTCGGTTGCGTAGTGTGAACAAGACCTCAATCTGAAGCACTTCCTACCACAGATTTTTCTTCGAAACTGCCTGTTTTTCACGAAATAAAAGCACACAGCGCGTTACACACACGGCACGTTACACGTTACACACACAATGTTTTAGGAAAACTCGTCAAGTGCTGTAGCTCAAGTCCCGAGACAGAAACACATTCAGAATGTGCATCTCCGAGCTCCTCCTATCAAACAAACACGGAGTCACGCTTCCCTTCCCTTTCATCAATCAGAGAACGCGACCAACGTTAGTCCACCGACCAAGGATACCAGACAGCAAGGGGAGGTAAGCAACAAGGAAAACAGCAGCGGAGAGTCTTCAGTCGTGCGAGTTACTTCCCTTGCCTGTGGAGTCGTTCCTCGTCCCATGCACATCAACAACGACCGCTCGGTGTCCTCACAACCTCGGAGAAGGGGGCGGGGCGGGGCAGGGGGGGAGTGGCTGTTGTTCCGCGACTTCCTACACCCACATCCTGCAGAAACAGCCCGGGACACACTGGTGATTCACACAGTCGGACGCACGAGACAAAGGGAGAGACAAGGCGGTCTTGACAACGCGAAAGTTCCACACGTCTGGAAAGAGAAAGTCACAGACCCAAAGAGTTATCATCATACTAATTATTTGTATAGTAATTGCAATAATTATAGTATAATAATAAATAGAAATAGTGATTATACTCAAAGTAATTGCAATAATTATGGTAATCGTAATGTAGAGTAATTGCAATAATTATGGCAATAATAATTATAGCTCAGTGTACAACCCCATAACATGTCACTTTTCAAAACGGCGCATGTGACCCCTTTAAATGTCACTTTTCAAAACGGCGCATGCGCCCCCTTTAAATGTCACTTTTCAAAACAGCGTATGCGACTCCTTTAAATGTCACTTTTCAAAACGGCGTATGCGACTCCTTTAAATGTCACTTTTCAAAACGGCGTATGTCACTTTTCAAAACAGCGTATGCGACTCCTTTAAATGTCACTTTTCCAAACGGCGTATGGCTGAATCTTCCACTCATCAGTCGGCACGTGTAGTGGATCTCGAGTGGTGCACAGACAGAAACTGCGCATGGAAAGTCCCGACCACCCAGAAAGCCCCGACCACGCACACTTGAATAAGTCCACTCTTCCTCCAAGACTGTGAGAACAGTCAAACCTGTCCACGACCCTCGCCCAAGGTCAAGGAGAAAAGTGACCGCTATAGACCGGTGGCGGCTACAGACAGCCTTTGACTTACAGTCACTTACCAAGGCGGTCAACGGATGGTTCAAAACCTGAAATCTGCACGTTAGCTTTCCATTTCATTTCCGCCAAAATTGTTCTCCATCATCTATGAACTTGAGTGAAATGGTATAGAGCTTCAACATCTATGAACTTGAGTGAAATGGTATAGAGCTTCAACATTTATGAACTTGAGTGAAATGGTATAGAGCTTCAACATTTATGAACTTGTATGAAACGGCACGTGCAGCAATTATAAGTAATCGTTTCAAACCAAAATTACATTTTGTACAAGCGCTCGGTAGAGACATCACTGGGAGCCAGATCCAGATTATCCCCAATTTGGAGTCTACGTTTCATAGTTGAGGAGACGTTTGACAATAATATAATGCCACAAATTTGTCATCACATTCTAGTAGAATAGAGTAGAGCGCATCAAATACTGGAACTACTTTCAGAATGTGGGTCCCGTCTGTTTAGACTTGGAATCATCCCCACAGAGTACTGGATACCGATACTGATTTCAATATTCTGTATCAATGTTTCATCCCAGCGAGAGATGCGCTGTTATTTTTTAGTATTAGCCTACAAAATGAGCTATACAATTTCACTTGTTTTTAACTAGGGGGGTTTCAGGCCCTAACTTAACAAAAACATGGGTGGGTGGGGGGGGGGGGGGGGGGGGTTTCAGGACAATAATTAGATGTTTTGCAATTAGGTTTGAAATATCTCTCTATATCGGCACGCGCATCAAAAAGTAATCATTTAGAACCAGAAGTAAATGTAATATTCGGTGTCGGGGTCAAACGTAGATTATCCCCAAACGGGACCCACATTCTTACGGAGTGATTATTCTCACCCGGGGTGAGGATAAACTGGACTATTATTCTCACCCATTCTCACCCGGGGTGAGGAAAAACTGGATTATTATTCTCACCCATTCTCACCCGGGGTGAGGATAAACTGGACTATTGTTCTCACCCACTCTCACCCGGGGTGAGGATAAACTGGACTATTATTCTCACCCATTCTCACCCGGGGTGAGGAAAAACTGGATTATTATTCTCACCTGGGGTGAGGAAAAACTGGATTATTATTCTCACCCGGGGTGAGGAAAAACTGGATTATTATTCTCACCCGGGGTGAGGAAAAACTGGATTATTATTCTCACCTGGGGTGAGGATAAACTGGATTATTATTCTCCCCCGGGGTGAAAATAAAATTGATACTATTCTCAACCCGGGTGAGAATAACGACAGCCTACTATTCTCACCTGGTTTTTTCGGTTCCGCCCTCTTTATTTCGTTTCGGGAATCACAGGACCCCTGTCACTGAGCGCTGCTGGCGACAAAACTCGCCTCCCTCTCTCACTCCCCTGAGCGCTGCTGGCGACAAAACTCGCCTCCTTCTCTCACTCCCTTGAGCGCGCGAGGCGACTAAAAGAGCCAACGGGCGGGCCAGCTCTCGAGCGCGGGAGGCCACTAGGATCTATTTTATTGTCGATTTGGGTGAAAACTTTATCTTTTGAGCAAATAGTGTCACCTTTTTATGCTATTGGTTCTGTAATGGAAAATTTTACTTTTGAATGGTTTAACTTTAACTAATCAAAATTTAAAAAATAAAAATAAGCCTAGGGTCAAGGCACTCCGTGCCTTACTTAAAAATAATCGTGGGTTCTGTTAGGGATAACATGTTTTTGTGTTGTAAACAAATGCCAATTCTAACATTACAATGACAAGCTATTACTAGATCTGATTTTACCATAATTTGATGTTTTGCAGTAGTTAGGTTTGATATCTTAGCTCGCCGCGCATCAAACATATAGATCTAGATCTAGATTCTAGTTCTAGATGTAGAATCTAGATCTAGGCTCAGATAAGGGGGATGGGAACTACCGAAAAAGTACCCATTATTTTGTAGAGCTGGGAAGTAGTTTAGTACTAGATCTAGATATCTAGGTTCTAGTAGTCTAGATCTAGATTAGTAGGGATGCTATTCCTGAATGGATATCATAATATCACCACACCAGACTAGACTGGATTGATAACAACCAGAACTAGAACAACACTGGATCGATAGGAAGTGGCTATCCTCACCCGGGGTGAGAATAAAAATACGATCGACCTCTCACCCCGGGTGAGACTTGCCAGCGTTGGCAATTCTCACCCGGTGTGAAACAAGACTTGTTAAACATTCCTAATTTTGGAATACTTTCTATCGAGGTGGATGATCAAATGGATAAAAGCAAAGAAAAAATTATGTTATAGCACAAAAGTAAGCTAATTTGATCGTCTACAAAGATGCTATGGCTATTTCACTTTTTTAATCGAGCCGAACTACGAAGGTCCCCATTTTGTTTTGCCCATTATAAGTTCTCACAAGATCTACTCCTCCCCTCTTCTCTCTCTCTGTCTCTTTCTGATTACTGTCTGTCAGTGTGGACGATCAAATTGACCAAAATAAAGTTTAAAACTGATGTAACACAAAAGTACATTGATTTGGTCGTCTACAAAGATGCTACGGCTATTTAACTTTTCGAATCGAGCCGAACTACGCGGGTCGTCATTTTGTTTTGCCCGGAAGTTTTCGCGTTACTCCTCTCTCTCTCTCTCCACTGCCCACAGACAAAATTGTACGCTTTTACTTTTAGGCTAACACTAACAGTAGTAATGGAACGTACAAGCTAACGGCACAGAATTCTACAATTTTTCTGTTATCACAGTGTACAATTCTGTGGTTCAGGGTGAACGCAAAATTGGTTGGCCTAGATCTAGGCTCTAACGGTGAACGCACACCGGGTGAGAATAGCCAAAAGACTCGCCTGCGCTATTTTCACCCGGGGTGAGAATAGAGGTAGCCGGATCAATAACATCACCAGTACCAGTGAGTGTGAGACAAAACAATCCTCCCTGTCCTTGTCCTCGTCTTGTCTTCTCTATCTCAGCGACTGAGTAACTGGAGCGACAGTGACACTCTACTGATAGGCCTACTAGATTCTAGATCTAGATCTACTACTGAACTGCACTTTTTTGTACATAAAGTAAAGTAAGAAGTAAGTCTGTCAAAAGTTTGGTCCAAAGTAAGTGACTGCCTCTGAATGGTGAACGTTGAAGAAGCCCAACTACATTACTCATTTCGTGCCCATGTGTCCAAAGAACTCCCAAGCCTAATGTCCTAAATATAGCAGTGAGAAAAACCTTTCAAATGTTACCAACAAGCAATGATGAATCATTCGTACATGTTCTTCGCCAGGCTGGAACCGAAGTTTGTTTTGATTTTATGACCTGAGAAAACAGGAAGTCTATTTACAGCTGGTAAAATCAAAGGAGAAGGTTTAATCTGTTTGCAGTTTGCAGTGTGTTCTGGCTGACTGTTTTAAAATCAATCAAGCTGCGGTCTTTTTGTCTTGCCAATTGAAATAAAATAAATTAGTTGTGTTGATTTAAATAAAATAGGGCCTAAACAATCAACCTGTTATTCCCTGAATACCGCTTGGGCTAATTTCTCTTGTCTTGTGTCCTGTTTGAAGTTTCTTCCAAAGTTTTACATTGTATTCTTGATTTGTGCTCATGTAGCTTGCCGCTTTGAAAATTGCAGATTCACTCCCCCATCCCTTTTTTCTGAAGTGCCAAAGCCGAATAGAGGAGAAACCATAAACACTTATCATAATTACGTCTGTTCAAATCTGGCACTTCATCAGTATCCCCATCTATGAACTTACTTTCTTACTTATTTACTTATTTGATTGGAGACTGCGGCACAGTGCCATAGCTGCTCCTCCTCCTCTCCACGATCCACGAAAGGGCCTGTTTGCTGATCGTGCCAGCTATCAGCTGGTTGGATGAACTATCATAATGAAAAGATCTATGACCTGACGATCTTCTGGATCTATTCGCCCCACCCTCATCTTCGCACTACTGGCAAAGATCGGGCTCAATTCTAGATCTAGCCTAGAATCTAGCTCTAATGCTGAGAAGACCTTGTTCAATGTCAGCCTAGACTTTGTTCTAGATCATAATAAATCTTCGCACTGATATTGATGGACTGAATTGACCTCAATTCTGGTCTGGACAACGTTGCTCCGGAACTAGATCTAGATGTAGATAAATTAATTAAGTGAAAGACAGCTGAATGTTTGTTTTGGTATTTAGCTCCCGTAAGAGCCGTAAAAAATTGCACTAAGCTAACCTGTGAAGGCCAGCCCGTGCGGGGTATTGGGAGTAGTTTTCAACTAGCAATAACCACGCCTCGGTAAAACCTCATTGGCTATGGTACCGCCACTGCGCAAAGCTAAAGTAACTACCGAGTTGTTCCGATACAACCTTACGTCTGTCATTAGAACCTTGTGGTTTTGGTGTAAAGCAAAAACCAAAATGATAATTTACAACAGCTATACTTAGCCTTACAAATACGCTTTATACTTTAGGTTATTTGAATACGACTTTATGTTTTAAAGATATTTTAGTTATATTGCTTAATTAGTGTTAAAAAATAAAATTTTTGCAGTACTGAATTAAATCAGGGGAAACAATTCATTAATTCAGGGGAAACAATTCATAAATGTCAGGGGAGACTACTGTCTATAAACGTCTGACTGATTATTGCATTAGATCTAAATTATCGTTTTTTCTATGTGTTTGTACATTTAATTCAATGTATTATTATTATTATTATTATTATTA